GCCACCGGATCGCTAGGGGCCAGGAGGGTGCCCGGTGCGGGGTGGACTCGCGATAACGTTCGCTGAACGAATGGGCGTGTGAGTTACAGGTTTCCTCGCGCCAGCTGTCGTGCTCAGACATGTCCACGCGGACAGCCCTGTAGAGCCACAGCGGGTTTCCTCCCCGCTCCGTGTGCTGTGGCAGGACTGCGGCCTCCCTCGCTCCCGCTGGAAAGGTCCGACAGCGCGGCTGGTCTCTTGCCGCGTGGGTTCATTTAAGAAATATTTAATGAATTATGTGTTGTGTGTTTTTTTTAAGCCTGGTCAAGTGAAACAGCGGAGTGGAGAAGGAACAAAGTAATCTGGACCTGGTTGTGATCAATTAGTTGTAAACACCACTGTACTTGGACCAGCAAATTCTGTATTGTACACAAAACTCTGTTCCAGGGTCTTCCAGGGTCAATGTTAACAAGCAATTAAGTCTTGATGGCACAAGACCCGGGAAGGAGGTCTGGAGGTAGGACGACGAGCTCAGCTTTGGCACCGCTTGTTAGGGCCTTGTTCACTTGACGATCTCTCGACAAGTGACAACTATGTACTTGGAGGCAGACACTGCACCCCCTCTCGCCCCTGCGCAGGGCTGCCACAGTGCTGGGCACACATCGGATGTGCTTAATCGGACTGGCTCCAGTCTCCATTGAGGAAGGCACCAAGATGTCCCCAGGACACGGTGACAGGCCTCTTAGAAGAACAATGTTGGCAGGAGATAGCATGGCTCCTCCTCAGTGTGCACAAGGGTCTGAGCACGTAGCCCTGCAAACCTCACCCACAGAGGCCTGGTGTCCCCAGAGAGAGCTAGCTCTCCCTGCCCCCCCCCCGCTTCTCAGGCTCCGAGTTGGTCCCCTTTTCTGAGTTCTTTTCCATTCCAGGTTGCCCGGAGTAGGCCCCAGCCTGCTTGTACTGCGTGCCGACCTCAGGAGGGGCAACATGCCTCAGCTTGCCTCGCTTCTGCCTTTGGCCGTCACATCCTAATGTGCCCCCGCTACCCCACATTCCCCTGGCTGGGACCAGAAGCTTCCATGAAAACACTCCCAGGTTTGTTAGAGATTTTGTCTCTTTAGACTTGGGGGAAGGTCATTCCCTCCTACCAGGAACCGTCCCTTGATGCCCTCTCCAAAGGCTGGGGACATCTCTGGGACAAGATACAGGCTGGACTCATCCGACCAGGTCACTAGGCCAGCTCAGCGAGTCAGGCCCCTCAGGCCGCCAGGAGACGGTGTCCGGCGAGTGAGTCCCTGGGGAGCGGCTCTGTGTCTGCAGTGCTGTCCCAGAGCGGCCCGGTGCTGCTGAGCGCTCGGGAGCAGGCCTTGGCCCTCCGCTGGTGTGGGGCAAATGTTAGACACATACCCATCGGCAGGAGAAATCCTTACTCATTCATTGATTCATCCTGCAAATGTCACTGAGCCTCCACTCTGCTCTTCTAGGGTGTGGGCGACACAGTCACAAGCTAGACGAACGCCATCCAGCCCTTCCGCTTGTGCGTGGTGGGGGGGTGGGGTTCATTTGCTTTTAATTGAAGTATAATTTACCTTAGAGTAAAATGTCAGCAAAACATCCACTGCTCCCCCGCACCCCCCGACTCCAGCGCAGCCCCCCACCAAAACGTTTGGGGAGGGTCTGAGTGCCCCGGTGCGGAGCCCTCCCTTTGCCCGCCCAGACCTCCGAACCTTGAACTCATCCAGGCGAGCCTCCAGCCTCTCCACCGCCTTGTCCAGCACGGTGTAGTGGTCCTTCACCATCTCTATTTGGTGGCCCCAAACTCTCTCAAGTTCCTCCCCCTATAAGGGGGAGACACAGACATCCAAGGCCTCTGCGTCTGAGGTCGCCCTGGAATGGGGCCTGAGGGAGGACCTCGGCCAGCCGAGAAGAATGTACCAGACCAGTGTGTCTCCAACCTGCCGCCTTAACAGCCCCCAGACGCTTGTCCGGAGGAATTCCGCAGCCCCTACCATTGGGACCCCTGCGCCCGCCCGCTGGACCTGCCTTCGCTCGGCTCAGCTGCCTTCCAGCTGGCTGCCTGCCCGGAGCACAAGTGCTGCGTCCGGGAGGGAGCGGCATGGGGAGTCTGCCACCAGCTCACCTCCAGCCATCATCTCCTCAAAAGCTCTTCTCTGCCGGGGACACTGACCTGTAGCCTGGACTTCTGGAGGTTGCCAATCTTTTCCTGCAATATGTCCACTGTGGGCCCGAGCCCGGAAGAGCTTCCCATATTGGCTGAAAGCAAAGAAGGGGGTCTCTGCCGGGGGCAGGGATGGGGGAGATGATTGCCTGAGCTCCGGCTGCTTCTGACACAAGGTGTGTGCGGCAGCGCCGCCCAACAGGAATACAGTGGGCTCGGGGGCCTGGGAAGTGATTTTCAAGTTTCTAAAAAATTTTAGAAAAAAAGTGTTTTTTTTGAGACAGGTTCTCACTCTGTTGCCAGGGCTAGAGTGCCGTGGCGTCATCATAGCTCACAGCAACCTCACACTCCTGGACTCAAGAGATCCTCCTGCCTCAGCCTCCCGAGTAGCTGGGACTACAGGCATGCGCCACCATGCCGGGCTAATTTTTTCTATATATGTATTTTTAGTTGTCCAGATAATTTCTTTCTATTTTTAGTAGAGATGGGGTCTCGCTCTTGCTCAGGCTGGTCTCGAACTCCTGAGCTCAAACAATCCGCCCGCCTCGGCCTCCCAGAGTGCTGGGATTACAGGCATGAGCCACTGTGCCCGGCCAACCCCGGGCAGTATGATTTTATGGGCTATTGCAAAGGAGTTTTCAAGAGTAATTTTGACATGTGATTTTTCTCAAGTGCCAACTTCAGACCCTAACAGCCTCTCTCCCCTAAGATAAAACCTCACTGTACATTCAGTATAACAGAATAGACTAGCAAGAGGTCACATGCTTATGCCAAAGGAATGAATGGCTAATGGTTGAATGTAGAATTTGTTAGGGAAGCCAAAGGAAGGGCAGGAGGTGCTTCTCGAAGGCTGGAGGGAGGGCCTGAGCCCTGCTGAGCCTCTCGGGGACAGAGCAGGCCTACCTAGATAAGTCAGGCGCTGGTTCAGGCTGGAGGACAGCTGGGCAAACTCCTCCTTCAGGGAGTCGTGTTGAATAGGAATCTGGGCCATGCAGCTCATGGAGTACCTGACGGCTTTCTTCTTGTCCTCAGGACTCGTGGCCTGCTTGGCCGCCAGCATGGCTGCCAGCATGGCCTGGGACAGGGTGACTTCAGGAGTGGTGACAGCATAGTAGGGTGGAGAGAGGATATCATCATCTATTGGCACATCTTCCAGCTCCTCCTCCAGCTCCTCCCCGTCATCGACGAGGGCCCCGCGGGAAGGCCCTGCACCCAGGATATCTGCAGAGACCCCCAAGGGCCCAGATGTGGCCATAGTTGTTGCTATGGTAGCCAGTTTGGTGGCAGGGGCATCCTTGACTGCCTTGGCAGCGACCTTGGCTGCCCGGGCTGCTGAGTTGGCGGCGGCTGCGTAGGCTGCGGCGGCGGCAGCAGCGATGGCTGTAGCGGTTCTTATCCGCTGAATGGCAGCCTGGGGACCCTTACGCTGTGCTTCCCCAGGGGCCCCATCCTTGGGGGCCCTGTCCTTCGGGGCCGCATCCTTGCGGGCTCTGTCCTTTGCCTTTCTATCCTTTTGGGCTCCATCCTTGGGGACCCCATCCTGAGACATTCTCCGGAGGGAGGCCTCAGTTTCCTCCCCGCTTTCTGCGACAGCCGGGAGCTGGCGGGCGCCTTCCCCGTGAGGCTGGAATGGCTGCAGTGGAAGAGGCCATGCTGTGTCTAACTCTGTAGCGGGCAGTGGGGCCCTGGAGGGCTGGGGTTGAGTGGGATGCAGGAAGCGTAAGCCCCAGAAAGGCTGTGTGCCAGGCCTGGGGCCACCTCCGGGAACAGGCCAGACTCCCGATGGCGGGAGCTGGGCACCTGGGGCAGGCCACGGTGCTGTCACGAACCCAGATGTCACACTGTGCCCCACCACAGGCCCCGGTGCAGGCCCAGGTGCGGGCCCGAGTGCGGGCTCCGGTGCAGGCCCAGGTGAGGGCCCGAGTGCGGGCTCCGGTGCAGGCCAAAGCTGGGACACGAGCCCTGGTGTGAGGGCCTGGGACTGGCCTGACTCCTGGGCACTGCTGACTGAAACTTTCTGGGGAGACTCCTCCTCCGGCAGGAGCCCTGGGACCTCGTAATGCCACGCGGTCTGCAGGAGTTGGGGGCTTCGGATGGCCTCTGAGACCCAACTGGGATGAGCAGCTTTAAGGTACTCGGAGGTCTGTGCCAGGGCAGCGTCTGGGAGCTGCTCTGTCTGCCACAGACCGGACGGCTCCAGCAGGAGTGGATCAGCTTCCTGCAGAGAAAGGGGCTGAGAGTGCTGGGCTACTTCCCACCGCTCCCCACGCGCAGTCACCTGCCTGCTCCCCGCCCCCCGGCTCCCCGCCTTCCTGCCACCTTCCCAGACCCTCTGCTTCTCTTCCTCTTCCACCTTCACTCACTGAGGTGAACATGGCCTCATGCAGCCCGCTCCAGAGCACCATCTCGTCGGTTTGGGGGATGGCTCGAAACTTGTTGTGGAGAGAAATCTGCAGGGTGGCGATGGGGACGAGGCGTGAGCCTGGATGGTGCAATGCCCTCGAGGGGCTCCCCGTCCACACTGACCCCCACACTTGCAAAGAAACCGTTCCAGCCTGTGTTCTCCTCACCCATCCCCACCCCCAGCACCCAGGACACTGGAGATCAGGGACCAGGCAGGAGGATGGGGCTGTGGTCCTCACCACGTCCCGCTGCAGTGCGTTCATCTTCCTGTTCTGCGCTTTTAAGTCATCAGAGAAGATATCTATTCTTTCCGGATGCATCTGTCAAATGAGCCGGGTCTGTGGGCCAGGGGTGCAGGTTCTGGTCCTAGCCCTGCCTCTTCCCACCACTTTAGGTGACTAAGAGCTTGAGAAAGAAGAATGGATTCCACAGCCAGTGTTCCCCAGGGAGTGGAAAAGGGAAAGGAAGGGGTTCCACGGGCAAATAAATTTGGGAAATGCTGAGCTAAAAAGCATTCAACAGGCCGGGCGCGGTGGTTCTCGCCTGTAATCCTAGCACTCTGGGAGGCCGAGACGGGAGGGTTGCTTGAGCTCAGGAGTTCGAGACCAGCTCTCACAAGAGTGAGACCCCGTCTCTTTTTATAAAATTTAAAATAAAAGAAAAAAAGAAAAATTAGCCAGATGTGATGGTGGCATGTGCCTGTAGTCCCAGCTACTCAGAGGCTGAGGCAGAAGGGTCATTTGAGCCTGTGAATTTGAGGTTACAGTGAGCTATGATTGGGCCACCGTACTCCAGCCTGGGTGACAAATCAAGAAACTGTCTTTGAGAAAAAAAACAATTCCAAGAAATGGGCCAAGAAGGTATTGTTTCTCAAACAGATTTGTCTTGTCTAGGAGGTCCTTTTTAGTATTTCATGATGCAGCTTCCTAACAGCCCCCTTTCTGCTTAGATGGGAACTGCCTAGCCCAAGACCAAAGTTCTCACAGTTGCCATGAGAACCAAATCAGCTGTGGACTGTCGTTACATGTTATGGTAGGGTGTTAGAACATGCTTAGATTGATGGTTTGTGGCTGCAGAAGGAGATAGAACGTATGTCTGTACTAGGTTTATTCTTCTTTTCAATGTGGACAGAGCTTTCTTGAAGAGGAAGAGGTGTTCTTTCTGCTAGGTTGGTGGAATGCAACCCTAGAGTTGCTAAGACTAGGGGAGTACCCGCCTGAGAATGAAGCCAACCCAGAGCACCTGGGTCTGGCTGTACCTGAAGGCATGCCTAGACTTTCAGTAAATGAGACAATAAATCCCTTATTTTTCCTGAGCCTGAATGAACTTGATTTCTATCACTTTTAACTGATATCTTAACACAGTGGGGCAAGGAGCATGGAGGGGTCACAGAGAGCTCAGCAGAACAGGCCAAGTGGCTGGGCCACGTCATCCCCCTTCTCTGCCCTCACAGCTGCATTCTTTGAGAATAAGCTTTCTAGATTTTCCTTGTCACCCCAACCACCAGAGGGCTGAGCAGCATGGCTAACATGGAAGGTGCAGGGGAGGGTCTACCTTTTCACACATGTCCTTCAGCCTGTCCACATCCTGCCTGAGGGTTTCGGTGGTGACCTTGAGCACGTGAAGGTCGGTGAGCAAATCCTGCAGGGTCTGCATGGACTGAAGCGGGGAGAGGAGGAGAAAATGTGAAGTTGGGTGTGGTTTGGGGAGAAGGCAAATGGGTGTGGAGGCTTTCTGGTGACAGCCGTTGTCCAGGGGTCCCCTCGGCTCTCTCAAGGCGTGGGCTGGAATGTACAAAGAGGCCAGCAAATGACACTGAAGTCAACAGTGCTCTGAGTTTCAAGTGGTCTGGGTGGGAAAGAGGCAATTCTGCATTAGAATCTACTCAGTAACCAGTGGTCACCCATCGTGAGGCATCTCATGTCCTTTCCTGCATGACACATGTCAACCAGGGTAACTACGGAGGGAGGAAGCATAGCCCGCCCCTGGGTGGCAGCCATTGGAGGCTCAGAAGCAGGGCAGACATGACTGCATTTACATCGTTAAAGGATCTCTCAGGCTACATGTGGAGACTGACTCTGGGAGGGCAAGAGGGGAAGTCAAGGGACTGGTGAGGAAACTTCCAAGCAAGAGCTGATGGTTGCAATGCTGGGCTCATAGTTTGGTTCCACCACTTACTGGGGCTGTTACTGCATCCCTCTAGGTTTCAGATTTATCAACCATAAAATGAGTATAAAAAAATGATAGTATTTTTGTCATAAAATAAAGGGCCGAGTGTGTAGTTAGACATTCAGTTAACAAAAATAGCACATAGCAAAATAGCACAAGTCAGTCTTTATCAGTAATTAATTCCAGCACTTTGGGAGACTGAGGCAGGAGAATTGCTTGAGGCCAGGAGTTCGAAACCAGCCTGGGCAACATAGCGAGACCCCATCTCCATTATAAAATAATTTCAAAAAACAATTACATTAAATGTAAATGGATTAAGCTTTCAGTTAAAAGACAGAGACTGGCAGAATGAATAAGGAATCATGATCCAAATACATGCTGCCTATAAGAGATATATTTTATTTATTTATTTTTTAATAGAGACTTTTTGACATACAATTCCTAAAATCCTTGGAATTCCAAAGTGGTAAGAGTCTTTCTGTTGCTAATGAGTTGACCTATGGCTGGCTGCCCTGAGGTAGTAGCTTCAGGATGGGGCTGGTCATAGGAAAGACAAAGGCATCATTAGAGGGCTGAGACTTTTCAGCCTACCCCCAACCTCTGGGGAGGGAAGAGGAGCTGAATGTTAAATTGATCACCAATGGCCAATGATTTAATCAATGGTGCCTATATAATGCAGCCCCCATAAAAGCCTCAAAGGGCAAAGTCTGGATAAGCTTGTGATAACTGAGCACATGAGGGCTTCCAGGAAGGTGAACAAGAACATGTCCACATGCTGGCTGAGAGACATACTCCGACTCCATGGGGACAGAAGCTCCTGTGTGCTTGGGACCCTTCCAGACCTCATCCTTTGAATCTTTTCATCTGGCTGTTTGTATCCTTTAAAATATCCTTTGTAATAAACCATTAAATGTAAGTTAGCATTTCCCTGAGTTCTGTGGGCCATTGTACCTCAATGAACCCGAGGAGGGGGCTTTGGGAACCTCAATTTATAGCTGAGTGGTGGGAAACACAGGCAAAATAACCTGGGCCTTGTGATTGGCATCAGAAGTAGCATTCAGTCTTGTGGGACTGAGTCCTAAATCTGTGCGATCTGACACTATCTCCAGGTAGACAGTGTGACCCGCCAGACCAGTTCTAACTGGCCCTGTCCTGGTGATAACAGGATGACAAGTTATTTTACAGACACAGAGCCAAGAAGGTGCAAGTCATGCAGCTGGAGCACACGCAGAAAAGACTTCAACCTCGAATAACACCCGAAACTAAAGTCTCACTGCCCACCCCAGCCCCACCCCTGCCCCGATGGAACGAAAAGATTGAGATGTGACCGGAACCCGAATGCTGGAATACTTTCAACAGCGAGGGGCGGTTGTCTAGGAATGTCTGATGATAAGCTCCCTCTCCATGCCTCACCATACATTGTCTTGACTGAAGTCTTCTCAGGTAAAAGCGGCCCTGCCAGCACTTCCACATACCAACGACCTGTCCACCCTAACCCATAAAACTTGCTCCAAATCCCAGATCAGGGAGACAGATTTGAGCACTGCCTCCCGTCTCCTTGCCAGTCAACTTGCAATAAAGCTTTTCCTTTTCTCAAAAACCAGTGCCATGGCCGGGCGCGGTGGCTCACGCCTGTAATCCTAGCACTCTGGGAGGCCGAGGCGGGCAGATTGTTTGAGCTCAGGAGTTCGAGACCAGCCTGAGCAAGAGCGAGACCCCGTCTCTACTAAAAAAATAGAAAGAAATTATCTGAACAACTAAAAATATATAGAAAAAATTAGCCAGGCATGGTGGCGCATGCTTGTAGTCCTAGCTACTTGGGAGGCTGAGGCAGGAGCATCGCTTGAGCCCAGGAGTTTGAGGTTGCTGTGAGCTAGGCTGACGCCACAGCATTCACTCTAGCCAGGGCAACAGAGTGAGACTCTGTCTCAAAAAAAAAAAAAAAAAAACCAGTGCCATGGCCGGGCGCGGTGGCTCACGCCTGTAATCCTAGCACTCTGGGAGGCCGAGGCGGGCAGATTGTTTGAGCTCAGGAGTTCGAGACCAGCCTGAGCAAGAGCGAGACCCCGTCTCTACTAAAAAAATAGAAAGAAATTATCTGAACAACTAAAAATATATAGAAAAAATTAGCCAGGCATGGTGGCGCATGCCTGTAGTCCCAGCTACTCGGGAGGCTGAGGCAGGAGCATCACTTGAGCCCAGGAGTTTGATGTTGCTGTGAGCTAGGCTGATGCCACGGCACTCTATCCCGGGCAACAGAGCAAGACTCTGTCTCAAAAAAAAAAAAAAAAACCAGTGCCATGGTACTGGCTTCTACGTGCCTCTAGAAGGGAGTGCATTGCCCACTAACAGCAGTGTCCAAACTGAATTGATCGGGAGGACCCCAGCCGATGTCCGTGTAGAATCAATGGCTCGCTTGCTGGAGAAATCCCCACATATCCCGCAGCAGGAGTGCGTTGTGAGAGGATCGTGGGAGAAACTGAATTCTTTTTTTCCACTCAGAGGGTCAGTCTATCAGGAACATGCAATTATAAACATACATGCACTTACCAGTGGAGCCCCAGAATACATGAAGGGAAAACTGACAGCGGAAAGGGAAAATGGACAATTCAACAAAAATTGCTGGAGACGCCGATGCCCATTTTCAATAATGAACAGAATAACCAGATAAGAGATCGGCAAGGAAGCAGAGACTTGAACAACCTGTAAGCCAACTAGACTTGACAGATATCTCTAGAACACCCTACTCAACAATGGCAGAACACACACTCTTCTCAAACGCACATAGAACACTCTCCAGGGTAGAGGTGTGGCAGGCTATACTACAAGCCCCAGTACATTTTAAAGGGACTGAAATTATGCAAAATATGTACTCTGACCACAATGGAATTAGACATCAGCCGCTCCCCATCACTCGCATCACTGCATAAGCCCCGCCTCCTGTCAGATCATTAGACTCTCATAGGAGCGTGAACCCTACTGTAAACTGTGCATTGAGGGATCTAGGTTGCGGCTGCTTGTGAGAATCTAATGCCTGACGATCTGAGGTGGAGCTGAGGCGGTGAAGCTAGCGCTGGGCTGCAAATACAGATCATCATTAGCAGAGAGGTTTGGCTGCACAATAAATGTAATGCACTTGAATCATCCCGAATCATCCAACCTCCCCTCACAACCCCGGTCCATGGAAAAATTGTCTTCCGTGAAACTGGTCCCTGGTACCAAAAATGTTAGGGACCGCTGGTATAGCAGCCCTGTGCAGGTACGGGGAGCTGGGCTTGTCCAAACTTGTGCTTGCTCTCTCTCTGTCTCTCTCTCTCAAGAGGCCTTCAAGGACACAGGCTTGGGCTGGGGCCCAGTGCTTACAAAGGCCTTAAGGGGGCCCAAAGCAAATACCCCCCACAGTCAGCTGGATTGATCACACAGCCACGTTCGGAGCTTTGGAAAATGGGAACGCTAACAACACCTCCCTGCCATGGAAACGAGGAACGCAAAAGTGCTTTGCAGCACTCTGCGAGGCGCGATACCAATGTTATTACTATTGTTGCAGGAACTTCAACCTTGATACCACAGAGCCCCAAAGTGTCTTCAACACTTTTAAGCAACGTTATGAAATACCCAAAACCCAATTTAAATGCAAAGTCATTTTAATTTGTGCAGTATACAGCAGGTGTTTTGATGTTGTTGGGGCAGTAGAATAGGGAGAGAGTTTTGAAATCAAAAAAGCAACAATGGGCTGTTAAAATCCCCTAAGACTGGGACCCACCACTTTATGGAAACAGGGTTGGCCGGAACAATCTTAAAAGCCAACAGCTGACATCATCCCTCCTTTTCTCCCGTGATGCCAGCTGCAAGCAGTTGTCATTATAGATGAGAAAAACCAAGGCCGGAACGAGGCACACAGGGACTCCCGGCCAGGGCATTCTAAAACACACATTCATCAGGCGACCCCGGCAAAGACACGGTGTGTGGGCCGCCAGCCTCACTGGTGGGTGGGTGCAGACAGTTGGCTAGGCAGCCGCACCACTCTTGAACCAGCTGCCATGGCAACCCTTCAACAGGTCATTACGGTAACCTTGGGCAACTTCAGTCAGGGCAGGACAGAGTAACATTCTCTTCGCGGCAGGGACATTCCTCAGCGGCACAAACAGTCCTCAGAGGGCTGCGCAGCACAGCCAGGTCTGAACCTGTCCCGAACCCCTTTGGCCCCTTTCATGAGCTGGGCGGGTTCCCTGCTGAGCTGCTCGGAGCACTGGTGCATTCTGGCAGCCTTCCCCGTGGGGGCAGGTCAGGGGCGAGCTGCCCCTGCAGGGCTGGCACCCTGGACCCTGGAGTCCACCTGTGCTGCCTGCAGGGTCCTCCGTGACCTGCCTTCAGCCACCCTGGCAGCCTGGTCTCTAGTAACAAGTTTGTCTTATCTGATAGACTCCAGTCTCTTCCTGGTTACTGCTTGCATGGAATATCTTTTTCTATCCTTTTACTTTCTATTTTTCTTTTTTTTTTTTTAAATATTCATTGCCTGATGCATTGATATCCTTTCACTTTCAGCCTACTTGTATCTTTGAATCTGAAATTTGTCTCTTATAGTCAGATCATGTTTGGGGTTTTGGGTGTGTGTTTTTGCTTGGTGGTTGTTGCTTTTTTTTGTTTGTTTTTTGAGACAGGGTCTTGCTCTGTCCCCTGGGCTAGAGTGCAGTGGCATCATCATAGCTCACTGCAGCCTCCAACTCCTGGACTCAAGCGATCCCCCTGCCTCAGCCTCCCGAGTAGCTGGGACTACAGGTGTGAGTCACCACGCCCAGCTATGGCTTTTTTTTTTTAACTAACTCTGCCAATTTTTGTTTTTTTTGTGGTGAAATACACATAACAATATTAACGTGTACAATTCCATGGCATTTAGCTTATACGTCACTATCTAGTTACAACACATTTCATGCCCCAAAGGGGAACCCCTCCCCATCAGCAGTCGCGTCCCGCTCCCCTCTTCCCGAGCCCCTGGAAACCACTGAGCTACTTTCTGTCTCTACGTAGAGCTGACTATTCTGGACGTTTCGTATAAACGGAATCGTGCAACATGTGGTCTTCCGTATCTGCCTTCTCCCACGTCGCAGGATGCCTAAGGCTCGTCTGTGCTGCCGCTTTGCCTCTCTTGCCCTGCCGTGGCCAGACGGGGCTCCTCCGCTCCCCACAGACCCTGAGCTGAGACGCCTATGTCCCTGCAGGGCTCAGGGGGATGCCTGCCATTGCCGAGATCACAATCCACCTCGGTTTCCCTGCTCAGGTCAAATTTCTGAATAATAGTCACAGTGACCCCAGATCGGGCACCTGAGTGTGCTGAGCTCTGCGCTAAGCACGCCCCACGCGTTGTCTCACGTGGTTTTAATTCTCCCAGCAATGCCAGGAGGAGGAAGCCATCCTCAACCACTATCGTGCCTCACGTTCCAGGCGGCAAGTGGCCGGGACGCTCTGTCCAGACCCAGGCGTCCACTGACTTCCCCCCTTTCTAACACTGTGACCTTGAGTGGGTTACTTAACCTCCCTGTGCCTGCATTTCCTCATCCTCAAAGGAGGGATAACAACGGTGAGTGCCCGGTGCAAGGGCGGAGGGAGGAAGTGCAGGTGGAGCCGGGGGAGGGGACGGTGAAGCGATGGGGGGACTGCGAAGCGATGGGGTACGAAGCCTGGGCAGAGCCCAGCTTTTCCAAATGACCCTGACTCCCAGGGGGGATCCAGCTAGACGTCCCAGGGGACACAGTCTGGCTCAAGGAGGATCTAGGACACGCCACCTCCAGGGACAGGAGGACAGGCACAGGTTGGATGGACACCGAGCTCGGCGGCCTGTCACCGCCTGTCACCACCTGCCTCCCAGCCACACCGGGCATAGCAAAGGAAGACCCCAATCTGAGCCCCACCTCCCGTGAGTCAGGTGAGCCAGAGGCACGGGGTGGACACAGGCAGACACCCGGCTGGAGGTCAGAAGACAGGGCAGGGTGGCTGTAGAGTTCTGGGGGCCGGGTGCTTTGTGCCTGCAGAGCACATTCTCACCCACAGCCTCTTGTTTAATCCCCAGGGCCACCTGAGTGCATTGTGTGCCCATTTGACAGAGGGGGAGGCTGAGGCTTGGACAGGCAAAGCCGCTTATGTACTCAGGACAAGGCAGTGTCAAGGCCAGAAACATATTTTTTCCCATGGCTCAACCCAGACCCCTCCAGATTTCAGTCTCCCTGGCGGCAGGGCTGCGTCTCATTCTGGTTTTTACATCCCTGCCAAGGTGGTGCCTGGGAGGAGCATTGGGAAGGGCGGCCCGGGAAGCTGGGGATGGCTTTTTCCAGATCCGCTTGCTGGTCACGCAGGTGTGCACTACGGAAACTCACAGAGCTGCGTGGTGTCTGTGCTTTTCTGTGTGTTCTGAATGTGTTTCGTAGAAAAGTGTTTTTAAAAGCCCTGCAGCATGAACCTCCCGCTCCGTGCTGAAGGAAGTGATTTCAAGTACACTGGCGCACAAGCAGGCACCTTCCAGGGGAGCTGGCCCGGGTGGGTGAGAGCTTCCGCCCCTGTCTGGTCTGGGGCTTTGTTACAGCAAAGGCATGGTCAGGCACCGCACTGAGGTGGAGAGCAGAGGTGCGGCTGAGATTCCCCGTAGGGACCCTCCCTCCCTCCCTCCCTCGGGTGTTGGGCTATCCAGACGGTGGTGGGGACCTCGGGAGCAGTCTCCCCACCTGGACCCAGCCCCCACCCTGGCGGCACTCTCAGCCCAGACCGCCTGGCCCCAGCTCCAAGCACCTGGCAAATCTCACCCCTTCCTCTCCGCCCAGCCTCCATCTTCACTCCACGTGTTTCACCGGGCGTGAGGCGATTTACCCCCTGCCAAACCAGGTGCCCGGGGCGAGGACATCCAAGGGGCTCGATCACAAAGATGTCCACCTCCTAAACCCTGGAACCTGTGACTGTATTGCCCTCCATGGCAAAGGGGACTTTGCAGATGTGATTAAATTAAGGCTGTCGTGGTGGGGAGATGATCTGTAATTACAAGCGTCCTTTTAGGAGGGAGGTGGGCGGGTCAGCATCATCGAGAAAAGATACAAGGATGGAGGCCGTGTCAGAGAGGAGAGAGCATGCCTGGCTGGGAGGGGTGGCTCACGCCTGTAACCCTAGCACTGTGGGAGGCTGAGGTGGGAGGATTGCTTGAGGCCAGTAGTTCAACACCAGCCTGAGCAACATAGCGAGACCCCAACTCTACTAAAAATAGAAAAATTAGCCAGGTGCAGTGGTGGGCGCCTGTAGTCCTAGCTACTCAGGAGGCTGAGGCAGGGGGATCGCTTGAGCCCAGGAGTTTGAGGCTGTAGTGAGCTATGATGATGCCACAGCACTCTAGACGGGGTGACAGAGCAAGACTCTGTCTCAAAAAAAAAAAAAAAACAAAAACATACTTGACAAAGGCGGCAAGCCTGGAGTATTGGTTCTGCCTGATGCCAAAGCCTCATTCCTCCCCTGCTGTAAGGGGAGGGCCCATCACAGGGGAGTGAGGGGCAGGCTGCCCCGGGAGAGGGCAGAGGGGCAGAGAAGGCCTGGAGCTGGGGTTACCTTTGCCGTGGCTTCCTCATTGCCCTCCACCATCTTCCGGAGCTTGATGAGATGCCACAGCTCCTGGGCGGGCCGGCTGGTCCCCTGGCTGGCCTCCAGCAGCTGGGAGGTGGTGGGCAGGTCCTGCAGGGCGGCCAGCTGGGTCTCCATCCTGTCCACACGGCTCACCACGTGGTCGAAGACGTTGCTGAGCCTTTTCATGGGGTTGAGGATGGGCTGGGCGTCCCCTTCCCTGGGCACCGTCAGGACCTGCGAGGTCTGGAGGAAGTCCTCGTCCCCCGAGAGGACCTTCTTGAGCTCGCCCATGTGGATGTGCTCCAGCATGCCCTGCAGCAGCAGGTGCAGCGCCTTGAAGTTGACCACCCCGTACTGCGGGATGGCGATGTTGGCCAGCTCCGTGAACGTGAGCGAGAAGCTCATCCTGCCCGGGGCCGGGTCACTGCGGCTTGCGGACAAGTGGGAGCTTCCGGTGGCCCCCCAAAATACACAGACAGGTCCTCAGAGGCTCGGGGAGGCGGCGAGTCACAGCGGTCAGAGAGGAATGGCCTCTGTCCTGGCCAGAGCTGCGATCAGAGTTCCTGGTTGCTAGGACACCAAAGAACGTGGTTGAGCGGGCATGCTTCCGAGAGCCTGGCCTTGCCCAGAGAAGGTGCTCGATTAATATTTGATGAACCTTGGAATAGGGAACGGGCAGCCTTTTCATTCAAGCCCTTTGGTTATGTAAGACCGATGACCCTGTCTAAGAAGTGCCCAGGTGAGTGAAGGAGAGGCAGCCCCTCTTCGGAAGTCTCTAGAATCTGGACAGAAGACAGATTTCTTAGACTTAGGAAGACAGAGTTTCAAGAAAAGGGCAGGTAGGGAAAAGAATCTGAAGAACTAAGCTCATTTCTGGGCACGGCCAAATGCCCCACCCCCACGCCCCAGCGCTGCAGTTCCCGGTGGGGGAGAGTCAGGTGGTGAAAGGGAGTAGTCTGTCCTGAGTCCGTGTGTCCTGCCCGCCAGTGATGACGCCCTCGCTGAACCCTGCTCGGCTCCCTGTCTGAGCTGGGGCCACCGTGACCCCGGTGCTGTGGAGCGGGGTTTAAGTACGTGGCCTGCGCCTGCTGCCGCAGGACCACGAGGACTCGCGGGCTCTGCCACACTCCAGGGCGAGAGCATGGCGCCTGCTTGTCTCCAAGGGAGGTCTGCAGGGAAGGCCCTGACCTAGCACTTGGAGCCCCAAGTCCCGGCCCAGCCAGCACTGTGATCCCAGGTTCCTGGCACACAGCTCACAGCATGAGCCCCGCTCAGGGACCAGTCGGCTAAGGGCCAATCTCACCTGGCTTCCCCACAGAAGACCTGGAAAGGAGACGACCGCTGGAGAGTGGAAAGCCTGTCTGCTTTGGATTTATGCAGGTGGAGATGCAAATCCTTCTCACCAGCTGTGTGACCTGGAGCAAGTGACTTAACCTCTCTGAGCCTCAGCTTCTCTCCCCGCTAAATGGGGAAATAAAACAGAGGGACGGGGGTAGAAATAATATATGTCAAGTGCCAGGCCAGTGCTGGCAGGGGCTGCCCCATTGTACATTGCCACCAGCAGTGGGCAAGGGCTCCAGTTTCTCGACATCCTGTAAACACTTGTTATTGTCTGTATTTTTGGTGGCAGCCACCCTAGTTGGTGTTGGAGACTTTGCAGGTGGACATCGATCAGGCTTATACCACCTGCTGCCAACACGCTGTCCCGGGTACTCAGGGTGACTGTTACAGAGTTTCAGATGTTTGCAATGACCACTCCACCAGCGGATCATGTTTCCCTGAAAAAAAAACACCTAGAAACCTCTGAAAGGCGGTATGCACAGGCTACCTGGGAGAGCTCCCCGGGCTCACCGACTGACTCCCTCTTCTTGCGCGCTGTGCCAGCTGCGAGTCCCACCGTGGGGATGACATGTTTGGCAAAGGTGGTCTAAAACTCATCTCTGACCCCAGCAGACGTCGTGAAGAGCACACTCTGCTCCAGAAGCCCATCAAGCTGCGTTAGAGGTAAATTTGTTCGCTGAGTCCTCGTGGGTGATCATGAGTTTCTTCTTGGCTAACCGAGAGGGAATTCACATCAGAGCAAACACTTCTTGCTGCACCTATGTAGCTATTAATACCATGTAAACACTAGGGGTCAAGTAGAACAGTCCATGACTAGGCTTAAAAAAAAAAAAAAAGCCTTCTGGCTTTCTAGAAAAAGAAAGTCCAGCCAGACTTTGGGGCATGTTTTCATGGCCTGGGTTTGGCACACTAGGCCTCTGGCTTCAACTTCTAGTGTCAGAACCAAGAGCCAGTCTTATTTCTGATGACTGTCTGTGCGGCAGGAGGCTCGCGTGCTCTCCCCGGGGTCTTAAATGCTCCAGTGCAGCCACTGTCCCAGCAGAGGCCTTGACAACACCGTGCGGCAGAAAGAGCGTGGCAGAGGGACCCCAGTCCAGCCACAGACACACTGTCTGAGCAACCTCTGGACCAGCGACCTTTCGGCACTGGTGTCGATCTGGACATCATCGGTGAGTGTTCTGGGCGCTGACTTCACCCTCCCGTGGCTAAAAGAGGGTGCAGTGGACGAGAAAAGCAGCCCCTGATGGCAGGGCCTGGCCTGGCACTGTCGGCCTTGGTGTGCTCAGAGCTGGCCTCAGTGTAGACCACGAACAATTCCACAGAACACCACCACCAGGCGAGGCCACTCTGCCCCACGATGGGTCGAGACAGAAAAGGGCCAATCTGTAATCACGTCTGCACTCAAACAGGGTCTGAAGCACAGCAGTAACCAACGATCACACCACTGCACTCCAGCCGGGTGACAGAGCCAGTGCCAGCGTGCTGGCTGTGAAGCCGGGCCTGATTCCCCAGCCCTCCCCATGGCAACTCTAGGCTACCCAACGTCCTTACAAGAGACTTCCTGCCTGCAGAACTGGCTTTTGCTGCCTGCACCGAAGCACTCCACCTGCTACAGCGGCGAAGGATCCGCCCGCACTGCGCCTGAGCCACAGGATGCCGAGAAGGAACTAGACGCTGCAAACAGAGCCTGCTTCGAGTCTGCGCGTCCTCCAGGGGAACCTGCAGCTGCCTTCCCCGCATCCTGGGGAAGCCTACGGGGATTAATTCACATTCGCCGACGGCGAAAGGCTTTCCACTCATTACTACACATTGAATCCTTGCAACAAGCCCATGAGGCAGGTGCAATTGTTGTCTTCATTTTATAGATGAGTCAACCAAGGCTCAGAGAGGTTAAGTCACTCACCCCTGGGTGCAGAGCTGGTGGAGCTAGGTTCACAGGTATAAGGACCATGTCAGCTAGAGGGCAGGGCAGGAAGGTGTCGGGCAGGGAAATGTCACAGTTGGTGCTGGCGGCTCCTGGGCCCACAGGGTATGTTTCCCTGGGGATTTAAGAAACTGAAGCTATAAGTCAGCCCAGGCTGTAGCAGTGCAGAGAGGTGGAGAGTCAGGCCTTCCTGACGGGCTGCAAGCCAACCACAGAGATGCCAATGTGTTTCCTGGCACCCAGCACCGTGCCTGGACCCACTTCTTCATTCTTGCCCTCAACGAAAATAAATAAATGTGTGTGTGTGTGTGTGTGTGTGTGTGTGTGTATATATATATGTATATATCTAATAGAGACAGGGTCTTATTCTATCACCAGGCTGGAGTGCCATGGCGCCATTGTAGCTCACAGCAACCTCAAACTCCTGGACTCAAAGAATCCTCCTGCCTCAGCCTCCTGAGTAGCTGGGACTACAGGCGTGCACCACCATGCCTGACTAACTTTACAAATATTTTTGTAGACACAGAATCTCACTATGTGGCCCAGGCTGGTCTCCAACTCCTGGCCTCAAGCAATCCTCCCCCCTCGGCCTCCTGAAGTGCTGGGATCACAAGTGTGACCCACCATGCCTGGCCCTCCAACCAATATTTATTGAGCATCTGCTATGTTTCAGGTGCTTCCCTTAAGTGTGAGCAAGTCCGATGAGGTCTCTGATCTCTCAGAGCTTACAGGCTAGTGATGGAGACAGGCCCTTATTGTACTACAAGAAAGACAGAAATTAAGTTCAGGTAGTGATGGGAGTTATGCCTATAATAAAACAGGACAAGATGAGAGTGGGGGTGGGCGCTAATTTAGGTAGGATTGTTGTGGTAGCCCCCTCTACGATGGCCCCCTAAGGTACCTCCTGGGTTCAGACTCTCATGTAGCCTCCTCCTACACTGTACCGGGTCCGTGTGACCAAAAGAACATGGCGGAAGTCACAGTACGTCCCTTCTGAGAATAGGTTGTGGAAGACACTGTGGCTTCCTTCTTGGTTATTTTCTTGCTCTGTCAGATCACTTTTGTCGGGGACAGCCAGCTGCCTTGTCTTGATGACACCCAGGCAGTTTTATGGACAGTTCCATGTGGGGTGGAACAAAAACCAGCAGCCACTGAGTGGCTTATGGAAATGCATCCAGCCCCAGTCCAGCCTTTGGATGACAGCAGTCTCACCTGACACCCTGACTGCCACCTCATGAGAGACCCCGAGCCAGAGCCACCCAGCTAAGCCACTTTGAATTCTTGGGCCTCAGAAACTACATGAGATAATAAACGTGTATTGTTTTCGGCTGCTATGTTTTGGGGTAACGTGGCGATGGATAGCTGATACAATTGTCAGGGAAGACCTTTGACAGCTCCATGAGGAGGTGGAGCTGAGAAATGAATGAACCAGTCACTCGAGCCATGGGAAGAGCATTCCAGGCAGAGGGTGTGGCAAGTGTAAAGGCCCTGAGGTAGGAATGAGCTTGGTGTGGTCAGGGACAGAAAGAAGTCCAGCGAGCCTGGAGTGCAGGGAGCTGCAGGGAAGAGGCCTGGCGGGCAAGATCCTACAGGGCCTTGCAAGCACTTGATGAGTACTTGTTCAAAGAAATGAAGGAATGGACGATCAATGAGGGAAAAATTGAGACCGGACAGAAGCCAGGACACTGATACCCGAGTGACGTCCTCTGTCTAGAGTGAGCAGCCCCGTGGTGCCCAGGTAAGTGGGTTCTCCCTGGCTCCAGGCTGAAGTCTGTGCCCAAACCCTTGCTTTAAGACCTGGCTGTTGCCTGTTTGCCCATTATCTAAGCTGGAATTTTCAATTTACTCACATGCATATAGAGAAAAAGAATACTTTATTTAGCAAAAACTTGATCATGTATACCACCAATCTGTGTTTACTTACATGCTTTCATTCATTTCATATTACAGAATGCCAAGATTTGGGAAAGTTGTATCTGTTGCATGCGTTTGGATGCTGATAAATGAATATTTATGATGAAAATGAAAAAAAAAATAACCCAGCCAATGTATTAGACTTGAAAGGATTCATAATTTTAAAAATCATTGTCATTTTAAGTCTGGAAATAAAGCACGTAGAAAAAAATTTTAAAAGACTTGG